CTAAAACGCCGGTGAGGGCGAGAAGGGCGTTGTAGGGCTCTACGCAGCTAGCTGCGCAGCCAGCTGCGTGGCTAGTTGCGTGGCTAGCTGCGTGGCTAGCTGCGTGGCTAGCTGCGCAGCTAGCTGTGCAGCTAGCTGCTGGCGAGGGCCACAGCAGCAACTCCAGCAAAGGCACTTTCGGGGCTTCTTCTGCAGCAAATGTCAAAACTGCTTCTCCAAACCCTGAGCCAGCCCCGCCCCCCAAAGAGCGCATGCACAAGAGGCCTGAGACAACGCACACACAACAAACCCAGACGCACGTCTAAACCCTAAACCCTAAACCCTAAACCCTAAAACCTGAACCTTAAACCCTAAAACCTAAGCATTAAACCCCAAACCCTAAACCCCGAACCCAAAACCCTAAATCCTAGACCCCAAGCCCTAAACCCTAAAACACTAAACCCCAAACCCTAAACCCTAAACCCTAGCGGAACGGGACCAGCACTGTAATGCTAGACTTGCGTGAGGGCCCGAAAGGCCAGAGGAGCACGGAAATTGAGTAGAGCTTGCGGCCTCACTGTTACTGCGCCGCAGCGAGGGTTTAGGGTTTAGGGTTTAGGGTTTAGGGTTTAGCCTTTAGGGTTTAGCGTTTGGGGAGCGAACCGCCGGGCTTGTCTGTGGCCTCGAGCTGCTGCCGGAGGAGGTCTTGGAAGAGGGATCGCGTGGGATCGGCCGATCCCAGCGCGCGGCCTCTGGGAAAAAGAGAACTTGCATTTTCTTTTCCGGAAAAAAAAGAAAAAGGAGAAAAAGTTCGACCCAAAGGACTTTTCAAAATCTCGTCCCGACTCTCCAAGTCCAGGTCCAGCATTGCGCACCTGGCACGCACACACACTCCGCGCGCAATCTGCTGCACCCAGCAGCAGCAGCAGCAGCAGCAGCAGCAGCAGCAGCGGAAGCAAAGGCATTTGCAGTAGCAGAAGAAGAAGCGGAGGGAGAAGAAGAAGAAGCAGAAGCAGCAGCAGCAGCAGCAGAAAAGCAGGAACAGCTGCAGAAGCAAAAGCACTAGCAGCACCAGCAGAAGCAGCAGAAGAAGCAGCAGCAGCAGAGGCAGCAGCACAAGAAACAGCGGCGGGAACAGCTGCAGGGGCGTGAGCAGCAGCAGCAGCAGCAGCAGCAGTAGCAGCAGCAGCGGCAGCAGCAGCGAAGGAAGTGGGAAAAGCAGCAGCACGCAGTAGGGTGCAGCGAAAGCGATTCAGAGGGCCAGGGGATATCAAAGAAAAGACAAAGCTGCCACAGAGAAAACTCTAAACCCTAAACCCTAAACCCTAAACCCTACACCCTAGGCCCTAAAAAGAATAACAAGAAAGAAGGACAAAAAGAAAACGAAGCCGAATCTGAATTTGCTGCTGCAGCTGTTTGAGCCGCAGAAGCAAAAAGCAGCCACGGGGGCCCCAAACAAGAGAAAGCCAAAAGCGGGGCGAAGAGAGGAAGGGCCCTGCAGCAAAACACAGCAGCAGCAGCAGCAGCAGCAGCTGCTGCTGCTGCTGCTGCTTGTAGGGAGGCCCCCAGAACTCACCGGGGAACTCTTCTTCCTGCTTCTGTCTCAGTGAAAAAACAGTCTTCTGCTGCCTGGGCTGTCGCCCCCAGGGGCCCCAGGGGCCCCCAGCTTGGGGTCCCTGGGGGCCCCTGCTCCAGCATGAGGGGCCCCAGGGGGGCCCCTAGGGGGCCCCCCAAGGGGGCCCCCAGGGGAGACCCCAGGGGTGATCCTGCGGGGGACCCCAGGGGGCACCCCTTTACGGCGCCGCAGGGCGGCCCCCCGGGGGCCCCCCATGGGGCCCCCCCGGGGGTACCCCAGGGGGCCCCCCCGGGGGCCCCCCAGGGGGCCCCTATTGTGGAGTCAAAGGGCAAACCCTCGTAAGAAAGACCCTGTTCTGCCAGCAGCAAATCCCAAAAAGCGGCGCCGCTGCGGAGGCCCGCCTGTCCTGTGTGTATAGAGATGATTTGCCTCACCATTGGAGCTCAGGCTGCATCCGCGGGCCCCAAACCCTAAACCCTAAACCCTAAACCCTCGGGAGGGAAACAGAGGGGCCCTTAGGAGCTCCGGAAGTCCCCCGGGAGGAGCCTCGAGTGGGGTAGCGAGCCACTGGTGTAACCACTGGGCCATCGAGCAGCAGCAGCAGCAGCAGCAGCAACAACAACAACAACAGCAGCAGCACCAAGAACAGAAATATGAGTTATAGGCTAAAACTGTGAGCATAAATGAGCTGTATGTACACTGCAAACCCTGCCTTCCGCCAACCGCTGCAGGCCAGACTCGAGGGGGCCCCACGGACTAGACGCGGAGAGGGTCTTTGGGGCCCTCTTCTGCTCAATTTAAATGAATAAATGAATTTAAATTGACTTTTAAACTCTATTAAACAAACGAAACCACGGAAAGAGCCTCTTGGCACGCAGCAGCACTTCTCCGCAGAAGGCTTGGCGTCCAAGGGGCCCCTCAACACAAGCTGGGGGGCCCCCAAGTCTAACTCTGCAGAAATGCAGCAGCAGCAGCAGCAGCAGCTGCTGCTGCTGCGGCAGCTTTACATTCAAAAGCAATAGTTGATGCATCGTGACCTACAGCAGCTGCTTGCAGATTTGCTGCTGGGAGGTCCACTGGTGCTGCACGAGCGGTGCTGCTAGATCTGCTGCTGCTGCTGCTGCTTCTAGATCTGCTGCAGCTGCCACTTCAATAGCTGCTTCTTGTGAAGTTCGCTTGTGCGGGGCCCCCAGCAGAGCCAAGCCAGGCCGACAGGGGTCGGGGGGCCCCCCAGCAGCAACTAGCCAGTACCCTCTCTACAAGAGGTGCCCACAGGGGCTCCTAGGGGCCCCCAATTCAATTCTTAGGGGCCCTGAAGGGGCCCCTGGGTTTTCAGGGGGCCCTGCAGCAGCAGATTCGGCCGCCGCCCCAGGTTTGTGGGGCCCCACAGCAGCTCCTGAGGGGAACTGGGGGGCCCCCAGGGGCCCATCTGGGGCCCTTCTAGCAAACAAATATCCTTTTGGGAGCCTCAATTTCATTTAAAGAAATTTGGAGGGCCCCAGGGGCCCCCAAACTCCACCACTGTTCTAGCAGGACCTCACATAGCCCCAAATGTCCTGGGGAAGTGAAATATTAACTTAAAACGGGGGCCCCGGGGGCCCCAGGGGCCCCCTGGGGCCCCTAGGGGCCCCTGGGGGCCCCAGAGGGGCCCTCAATAAGAGGCAGTACCCAGCGGGGCCCCACCTGGGATAAGCTGGGAGGGCCCAAGGCGACCTCAAGGGTACTTCAGACTTTATAGTGGCCCCTAAGAAGGGCTTGCGGCCAATTTGGGGCCCCCTTTGCAGATTTTGGGGCCATTTGGGGGCCCCTTTAGGGCCTTTAGAGGCTTTCAAAAGACACGGGGAGGGGGCCCCCACGGACCTCATAAGGGGCTCTCATGAGCCACGAGAAAGGGCCCCCCAGGGGCCCCCAGAAGGGCCTTTAGGGCCTCCCCACGGGGAAAGGGGGCCCCCGGGCTTTAACGGGGCAAATAGGGTCTAAAAAGTGGCACCGAAAAGAAGTTCCTGGAAGACCCACGGGGGCCTTTGAGGCCTTTTAAATGCCTCAGAAAGGGGGCCCCAGGGGGCCCCAAGGGGCCCCAGGGGGTCCCAAGGGGCCCCAGGGGGCCCCAAGGGGCCCCAGGGGGGCCCAAGGGGCCCCAGGGGGGCCCAGGGGGCCCCAGGGGGCCCCATCAGAGCCTCTAATGACTTTCAAGAGCCACGGGAAAGGGCCCCAAGGGGACCCAGTGAGAACCTCCTGGGGCCCCAGTGGGGGCCCCAGTGGGCCCCAGGTTGGGGCCCCAGGGGCCCCCAGACGGGGCCCCAGGGGGTGCCCCAGAGGGGGCCCCCTCTGGGGGCCCCTACTCGTGGCCAAGTTGAGTTAACTCCTGCAAGAACTCTTCGGGGGTAACGAATTCTGTGGAGCCGAAGATTAGCTGGGGACACAACACGCAAACACATGCTAGGCCTGCTGCTGCTGCTGCTGCTGCTGCTGTTGCTGTTGCTGCTGCTGCCGTTGCTGTTGCTGCTGCTGCTGCTGCTGCTGCTGTCTGCTAGCGGCTAAGAGCAGCCGGAGCTCGACGAGTCGGCACGACAGCGCGCCACCTCCTTGCCGCCGCAGCTGCAGCTGCTGCAGCAGCAACTGCAGCAGCAGCAGCAACAACTGCAGCAGCAGCAGCAGCAGGCCGACGCACCTGCTTCTGAGTCTTAGCAGCAAGTTCCCTCACTGCTGCTGCTTCCACGTAAGAGGCCCCCCCCAAGACAAAGACTATAGCCTGCCGCACTGGGGGGCCCCTGTTGGCAGTACCACCTGGGGACACTGCTGCGCTGGGGGGCCCCGAGGACTGCTGCCCCCTCTGCAGCAGCAGCAGCAGCAGCAGCAGCAGCAGCAGCAGCAGCAGCAGGCATACAGTGGCTGCGGGAGCTGTGAAAGGGCTTCCACAAGAAGTCCATTTTTAATTAAATAAAAACAAAAATGATAATAATAATAATAATAACTATTATTATTATTATACTAATTATAATTATAATTAAACATAATCCCAGGGAGAGAACCTCTTGCGTTTGAAGGGGGTTTTCGGGCATGCAGCGACACAGAAAACCCTATTTTAGGGTTTACAGGCGAGGCGAAACACCATATTAGGGTTTAGAGGTGTAATGCATTACTACTTTAGGGTTAAGAAGGCTAGCAAAACACTATTTAGGGTTTGGAAGTGCGGCGAAACACTATTTTAGGGTTAAGAAGGGCATCGAAACACGATTTTAGGGTTTGGAAATGTAGCAAAACTCTATTTTAGGGTTTAGAAGGCTAGCAAAACACGATTTCAGGGTTACCAAGGCTAGCAAAACACTATTTTAGGGTTTAGAAGGCTAGCAAAACATTATTTCAGGGTTACCAAGGCTACCGAAACGCTATTTTTGGGTTTATATATAAGGCTAGGAAAACACTGGTTTTTAGGGTTTAGAAGGCTAGCAAAACACTATTTTAGGGTTTGCAAGGCTAGCAAAACACTAATTTAGGGTTTGGAAGGCTAGCAAAACACCTTTAGACTCAAAGTCTGGCGGCCAGGGACTTCTTGGCCCTCCAAAAGGCCCTCCAGCAGCTGAGTAATCGGGGAAGACTTCCGCACCAGCAGGTTCTTTACACCCTGCAGCAGCAGCAGCAGCAGCAGCAGCAAGAGCAAAGCAGCAGCAGCAGAGCAGCAGCAAAGCAGCAGCAGCAGCGCAGTAGCAGCAGCACAGCAGCAGCAGCAGCAAAATTGCAACAGCAACAAAGCAGTAGCAGCAGGACAGCAGCAGCACAGCAGCAGCAGCAGCAGCAGAACAGCAGCAGCAGCAACCCGTCTTTTGTGCAGTTACTTTCTAAATGTTATATATAAAGAGCTTTTGAACAAAATGGGGAAATAACAAAAAGTAATGCATGCAGCGCAAAGCAGAAAATAAATTCCCTTTGTCTCATTTGGTCCTTTTTCGCATGCAAAAGGTTCAAAAGATTTCGGAAATAAAAGTATTTGTTTGCATGCAGCATTTAGATATTTCAAAAAAATAAAAGACAAAAAAATGCATGCAAAGGGAAGCAAATTGATGCATGCGCATGCAGCAGAAAAAGTAAGAAAAAGCAAGAAACATGAGATTAAAAAAGATAAAAAAAAGATTAAAAGATTAAAAGATAAAAGAGAAGACTACAGGAGATTCACAAGGATTTAAAAAGATTAAAAGAGATTAAATGAGATTGAAAGAGATCAAAAGGCATTAAAATAAACAAAAAAAGTCGAAATGATACAAGAAGAGATAAAGAGAGATAAAAGGACCCAAAAGGCCGACAAGCGATCTAAAAAGATTCGAAAAAAAGAAAAGGGGAAAAAAGAAGAAAAGAAAAAGCAAAGGAAGACAAAAAGATGCAAAACACTGCAAAAAGAATCGAAAACGGAGACAAAAAAACAGCAGCAGCAGCAGCAGCAGCAGCAGCAGCAGCACCTGCAGCAAGCCCCGGCCCTTGTCCAGAAATTTGCTGCCAATGCCTTCGAGACCAGCAGCTGTAGAGACACCTGAAGAGACAGCAGCTTGCTGACTCGCCCCAATTGAACGGAGAGCCTGCGCACACAAATGCTGCTGCTGCTGCTGCTGCTGCTGCTGCTGCTGCTGCTGCTGCTTATGATTACGATTATGATTCGGATTATGCTGCTGAGTATGCTGATTATGCTGCTGCTACTGCTGATTATGTTGATTATGCTGCTTCTGATGAGAAAGAAAACATTGGAGACAGCAGCAGCTGCAGCAGGAGACGAAAGGAGACAGCAGCAGCAGCAGCAACAGCAGCAGCAGCAGCAGCAGCAGCTGACGCTGAATCTTTTGAGGAAGTTGAGGGCAGCCACGTCAACTCCCTGCTGCTCTAAAGTGGAGACGAGACTCTGAAAAGTGGCCGCGGGGAAATTAGCTGCAAGCAGCAGCAGCAGCAGCAGCAGCAGCAGCAGCAGCAGCAGCAACAGCAGGGAAGACAATAGAGACAAACAGGGGAGGCAAAGAGGCAGCAGCAGCAGCAGCAGAAGAACAGAGAGACAATAGAAATAAAGGAAGAGATAGCAGCAGCAGCAGCAGCAGCAAACAAGAGAGTCAAAAGGGGGGCTGGGAGCAGCAGCAACAACAGGTGCAGCAGCAGCAGCAGCAGCAGCAGCAGGAGACAAGAAGGAACAGATACAAGAAAGACAAGACGCAGCAAAAGCAGCGTGAAAGAAGATAAACGGAAACAGCCAAGAAAAGAGACAAAAGAGAAAATAAAAATAAAACGAAACAAAAAAGAAATAAAATATAAATAAAAAATAAAAAAGAAATGAAAAAGGAAACAAGGAAGGGATAAAAAAGAAAATAAAAGGAAACAAAGAAATAACAAAGGAGAAAACGGGGACCGAAAGGAGAGAAACAAAGAAGAGATAAAAACAAACAAACAAGAAGAAAAAGAGACAAAAAAGACAAAAATGAGATATAAAAGAGATAAAACAGATAAAAAAGGGGCCAAAAAAACATAAAGAAGGACAAAATAGGATTAAAAAGAGACAAAGAAAGTAAAAAAGAGATTAAAAAGAGACAAAAAGTAAAAAAGAGATAAAAAAGATACAAAAAAGGGATAAAAAAGACAAAAAAGGAACAAAAAAGGCGCAAAAAAGATACAAAAAAAAGATACAAAAAAGGACAAAAAAGGGACAAAAAAGAAAAAAAGGAACAAAAAAAGACAAAAAGGGGAAGAAAAAGACAAAAAAAGGACAAAAAAGACAAAAAAAGATTTAAAAAAAATAAAAAAAGAATTTAAAAAGATAAAAAAGGGGAAAAGAAAGCAAAAAAGACGCAAAAAAGATAAAAAAAAGGCAAAAAAGATTTTAAAAGAAAACAAAAATGGAGTCTGACGGCGGGAAAGAAAGAGACAGGCGAGGAGGCGAAGTTTGTCTTCAGAAGTCCCAGCAGCAGCAGCAGCAGCAGCAGCAGCAGCAACAAGTTGCTGCGCTGCTGCTGCTGCTGCTGCTTCTCGTTCTTGCGGGAAGTTTTGCTCAACTTCGAAAAACCTGCAAACCCAAAATCCGAAAAACATTTCAAAATCAAACATTTAAATTTAATTTAAATTAAATTGAATTAAATTTAAATTAAATTTAAATTAAATTCAAATTTGGTTTGAATTTAATTTAGATTTAAGTTAAATTAAAGTTGAATTAAGATGGAATTAAAATGGAATTAAAGTGGAGTTTAAACGGAATTTAAATGGAGATTGAAATGGACTTAAAATGGAATTAAAATGAAGATTCACATGAGAACTAATGAAATTAAAATGGGGATTTAAATGGATTAAAATGAAGATTAAAAGGACCATTAGGGTTTAGGGTTTAGGGTTTAGGGTTTAGGACCTGTCGAGAGCCCTTTCTTTCATTGCAGAAACGAGAGCCGTGGCTATAATATAAAGAATATCGAAAGACGTAAAGAGATTTAAAAAAAGATTTAAAAAAGAATTAAAAGATTCAAAAAGATTTAAAAAGATTTAAAAAGATTCAAAAAGATTTGAAAAGATTCAGAAAGATTGAAAAGAATTAAAGGGTTAAAAAATGTCCAAAAAAAACCAAAAAAACGCCAAAAAGAGCCAAAAAGAGACCAGCGGACTATTAGGGTTTAGGGTTTAGGGTTTAGGGTTTAGGGTTTAGGACCTATCGAGGGCTCTTTCTTTAATTGCAGAAACAAGAGCTGTGGCAATTGTCGTGTGGGCGTCGAGAGATCTTTTCTTATCCGCCAAATCCGGGAGAACATCCACGGCTTTCAGAATCTCCGAAGAAAAGTCCCCAGCGCCTGCAAAACCCTAAACCCTAAACCCTAAACCCTAAACCCCAAACCCTAAACCCTAAGGGCTAGGCAAAGCAGGCGCTGCGGGGAGAAGAAGGGAGGGCAGTGGTTATTTTTGAGGCCAAAAGTAACAAAAAATAAAATGAATGCTGGAGCTTACACCGCATAGGGTTTAGGGTTTAGGGTTTAGGGTTTAGGGACTGATTCGAGGCCTGGCGCTGCGAGCTGGACTCTAGGGTTTGGAGTCAAGGCTGCAGCCTGCGGCGGCACCGCCGCCTCCAATTCCCAGCTGCAGGGTTTAGGGTTTAGGAACTAGGGCCTAGGGTTTAGGGTTTAGGGTTTAGGGTTTAGGGTTTGGCGTGCCGGGCTGGGCAAAGGCGTCGGGGGGGCCCCTCCCAACCCTCGAAAGCTCGGAATTATATTCTGTCAGCATTTGGCTGACTGCAGCAGCAGCAACGGGAAAAGGCGAAAACGCGTGGTCTCTCCAGAACAAGTCCCGCCTGCAAAACCCTAAACCCTAAACCCTAAACCCTAAACCCTAAACCCTAAACCCTAAACCCTGAACCCTGAACCCGGAACCCGGAACCCGGAACCCTGAAGTGCCCGCAAGCCGATGAAACAAACTCTCTCGCCCGAAACCCTAAACCCTAAGCCCTAAGCCCTAAACCCTAAACCCTAAACCCTAAACCCTAAACCCTAGGTCTTTCACTTCTCGAGGTCAAAGACCTTCGTCGTCGGGGCCGCTCCCCCTTCGCCTGGAGTT